AGAAGCTCCAAAAGAGCCAATGTGTGTCCTCCCTCCGGCCAGCCTTTTCAGGATGTTTTGCAGCCAGTGGCTGAGCTATGCTGTGGTGTTCCAAGCCACTTTGTCAGACTGATAACTCCTTAGAGCCCATCCTTGTCTCCCTTGGAGAGAGATCAGGCCCTCCTGGTAGAACTGAAAATCATGATGGTCCTCCTTTCAGATGGAAAAAAAAGGGCAGGGAAATCTAAGCTTATCTTCAATTCACTATTAAAAACTTTCTTAAATAGACCTTCTCTTTTCCCCACCTATGCCCTATAAATGGTCTTCTGTGAGCTCCAGAGTGTCACTAGTGGCCTGCTGATGTGGCCCTTTCTCTGATCCTCCCATCTCTTCCTATTTCAGAGCAGCACTGAATCTATTTCGTATGCATGCTTTACTTTCACAGTCTTGGTGGTGGCGTAAACATCACATTTTATGATATTAATTTCTTCCTAATATTGATGATATAGTGACATCAAACAGAGGGGGCTCCATGTACTTGTGAGAGCGTCATATTGTAGCCGATCATTTATAAGGGCTACTGTTGGGAGAGCAGGCTCTGAAGCCAGCCATGTGGGGTTGAGTGTCAGCTTGCCACCTCCTAACTGAGCTATCTTGGCCGATTTATTTAACCCTTGGGGGCCTCCTCTTGCTTATCATTAACAAGCACTGTAATTTTCTTCAGAAGACATTAGATGAGACCACAAATAATAAAATGCTATTTTATTATAAAACTCCAGGACATTCTGGTGTCCTGGAGAGTACCTAACAGATCCTAGTTGAGGGTTTCTATCATTGTGTACCCAGTGCTAGGTTTCTATCACCTGGCTTGCTAAGAAGCATCTCTAGTCATTCATTGAGCAATAGTGTACTGCCATCCGCCAGGCATCATGGTGTAAAAATGAAAAGTTCTGGTTTGGTCACAGTGAACTGTAGGCCTATATAGGGTCCAGGTAGGAGGCTGTTAGGGTGGCATGGTGGACCCCCATGAAGGAGAGGTGGTGGCTTAGTTAGGGTTTTACAGCTGTGAACTGACACCATGACCAAGGCAAGTCTTATTAAAAAAAAAAAAAAAACACTTAATTGGGGCTGGCTTACAGGTTCAGTGGTTCAGTCTATTATCATCAAGGCAGGAGCATGACAACGTCCAGGCAGGCATGGTACAGGAGGAGCTGAGAGTTCTACATCTTCATCTGGAGGCTGCTAGTAGAATACTGGCTTCCAGGCAGTTAAGATGATGGTCTTTTTTGTTTGTTTGTTTGGTTGGTTGGTTGTTTTTTTTTTTTGTTTTTTCAAGACAGGGTTTCTCTGTGTAGCCCTGGCTGTCCTGGAACTCACTCTGTAGACCAGGCTAGCCTCGAATTCTCGAACTCAGAAATCCACCTGCCTCTGCCTCCCAAGTGCTGGGATTAAAGGCGTGCGCCACCACCTCCCAGCAGGATGACAGTCTTAAAGCCCACACCCACACCCACAGTACACACCTACTCCAACAAGGCCACACCTACTCCAACAGGGCCACAGCTTCTAATAGTGCCACTCTCTGGGTAAAGCATATACAAACCATCACATTCCACTCCATGGCCCCCATAGGCTTGTCCAAACATATGAGTCTATGGGGACCATACCTAAACATAGCATAATGCAAAATACATTTAGTCCAACTTCCAAAGTCCCCATAGTCAATAGCAGTCTCAACAAGGTTAAAAGTCCAAAGTTCAAAGTGTCTTCTGAGATTCATCCAGTCACTTAGCTGTAATCCTCAAGGCAAGACAGGAAACCAGCTGGGGAAACTCAAACTCTGCATCTTCATGTCTGATGTCAAAGCAGTCTTCAAATTTCCAATTCCTTTTCAACTTTGTAGACTGCAACAAACTTCTTTCTTTTAGTCCTGGGCCATTAAACTGCAGCTGAGACTGTACCGTCTCCAATGGCCTTCCATGGCCTCTCACTGTGTCAAGCCTCAGCTGCTCTTCATGACCCCTTCATGCCTTCAAAACCAGTACCACCTCGGTGACTCTTATACATTACCAAGTCCAGCTGCAGCAGAAGGTACAACCTTGGCTATCTCTGGAACACAGCTTCTTTGTGCTCTCAGAAAACATTACCCAGAAGATGTCACCTCAGTGATGCTGGTCTCTTCTCAATCACTGCTAATTTCTTAGCTCTAGCTAACCAGCGTCAGTTGTCCCAGTAGTTCCTTCTATTCTTGACTCTAAAGCCAGAGACATGTGGTCAAAGCTGCTGAGTTCTGCTTCTTTTTTGTTGTTGTTTTTTGGTTATTTGTTTGTTTGTTTGTTTGTTTGTTTTTTTCGAGACAGGGTTTCTCTGTGTAGCCCTGGCTGTCCTGGAACTCACTCTGTAGAACAGGCTAGCCTTGAACTCTCGAACTCAGAAATCCGCCTGCCTCTGCCTCTGCCTCCCAAGTGCTGGGATTAAAGGCATGCGCCACCACCGCCCGGCTTGAGTTATGCTTCTTGTTGGGGCTGGAACATGCCCTCCTTGTTCTATTATTTTATTATCAGTTTTCTATTTTCCAACTCCTTCAATGCCTAAGCTTGACTCTCCTGGAATTTGCTCTGTAAACTGACCTTGAACTCAGCCTGCATGCCTATCTCCTGGGATTAAAGGTGTGTACCACCATGCCTGGATTTAAACTTTTCTTCACCTAGAACTTGCCGTCTCAGACTGGCCTTGAACTCAAAGATCTGTTTAGCTTTATCTCTTGGGATTAAAGGTGTGCATCACTTGCCTAGATCTAAATTTAGCTGCTTAGTAGGATCTTGCCCAAAGTCCCACTCCCTTAATTCAGTTTAAAATCCTTGAACACAGGATTCAGCTCCATTTCACTTTCTGGTGACCCTTTAATATTTGAACCATATATTTTATATTTTCCCTTTCTCAGCTTGCAATGCTTGTTTAAAATGCTCTTCATGGAACTTAACCAGAGAACAAAGTCTTTACTGGGCTTTTTTTGAGACTTTCTGTGTCAATGCAATTAATATAAATCTCTTTACCTGAGCCTCAGGTAGACTCTCAGTGTTAGCATTGTGTCTAAACTCCACCTCCACAGTTATCTGGCAACAGCCAGGTATGTTCCTCCCCACAGTTACCTGGCAACAGCCAGGTAGGCCTGCCCACTATAAAGGGGGCTGCTTGCCTCCTCTCTCTCTCTCTCTCAATCTCTCTCTCTTCTCTCTCTCTTCTCTCTCTCTTCTCTCTCTCTTCT